GAGTGGCCAGATTGTTTTTGTCTTCAGGAGTTCCCAAAGAGGCCCAAGTCAGATGAGGATCAGATGCTCTCAGGCTTTCTTCTAAGGTTTGGATCCCTCCAGTAAAGATTTTGGCCTCAGGAATTTGGGTTTGGACTGGCCTGGGAGCAGTGCCCATGAAAGGTGCTGGTCTTGTGAAGCTGGTGGCCATATGGGGGTGAGAAAAGGCCCCAAGTGCTCCTGGGGACTCCACTAAGGAACTGTGTTTGCCTGGATGCAAAGGATCAGGAAGCTGAAAGGTCAGCCCCAGCATCCAGGAAAGAGGCTGGCAGGTTGTGCAGACCAGGGAAGCAGAGGGAGGTGAGGGCGGGGCCAGGCCCAGCAGGCTCCTGGGGACCCAAGAAGGAACTGGGTTGGTCTGGATGCAAAGGATCAGGAAGCAGTGGTGGTTCCCCAGGTGTCTGGGGCACCAAGACAAGGAATGGGACAGATCCCAGGCTAGGAGGAGAGACGAGTCGGGGAGATGGGAGGGTGAATGAGGCTGGGGGAGTCAAGGCGCTGAGGGTGCTATTGACTTACCCTGGAGAGAGGCCTGCAGGTCGTGCAGGTCCAGGGAAGCACAGGGGGGTGAGAAAATTTTATTATTTTTATTTTATGTGTATGAGTGTGGTTTTTTGCCTGAAGGTAAGTAAGTGTACCTGTGTCATGCAATGCCTATGGAGGTCAGAAGAGGATATCGGATTCCTCTAGAACTGGAGTTACAGATGGTTGTTAGTCATTATGTGGGTGCTGGGACTTGAACCTGGGTCCTCTGCAAAAGCAGCCAGTGCTCTTAACTGCTGAGCTAGCTCTGCAGCCCCTGTTTGTTTTTGAGACAGGGTCTCATGTAACCCAGAGTGGCCTCCAATTTGATAAGCACTGAGGATGAGCTTCAACTCCTAATCCTCCTGTCTCTACCTCACAGGTGCTTGGATTTATATGCATGCATCACCACATTCAGTTTATCTTTTTTAGTTTTTATATTTTTGTGTTAATGTTTGAACCCAGGGCCTTGCATATACTAAGTAGATTTTTATCACTAAGCTACATTCCCAGCTCCCTCTGTACTCCTGTGCCCTTTTGACCAGTGTCCCCTGGTGGAAATGAGCAACCTAAAGAACCAGAAGAGGGGGCTGGAGAGATGGCTCAGCAGTTAAGATCACTGGCTGCTCTTGCAGAGGACCCGGATTCAATTCCCAGCACCCACATGGCAGCTAACAATCATCTGTAACCACAGTTCCAGTGTCCAGAATTTGATACCCTCTTCTGACCTTAGGCATTACATGACATGGGTGCACTTACATATATGCAGGCAATACACTCAAGCACATTTAAAAAAAAAAAGTCAGAAGAGGACATGGCTTCTGAGAAGGCTGATCTTTGGAGTGGGGGGTTGTCTCACATGAGTTGGGAGTCACCTGACAATTGGATGGTCTGTTTTTCAGCTGTCTTCTTTGAGATTTGCCAGTAGGATGAAGCTGGTCACTACTGAACCTACCATCAATGAAAAGCATGATGCTGAGGTACTAGGGACTGGTGGGCAGCACCCTGTGAACAATGTGTGTTGCTTTGCTACTGTATTGAGTGTCCATGGTGGAGGCAGGAAGGGAAGCCAGGCTTGTATGGTTTCCTTCCTGCCCCTACTAAAGATATCCATGGAATCCTGGGTCAGTCACTTTCCATTTTGGAATAGGCCATGTCTTAAGAGTCCCTGGAGACCCTGCTAGACTGCTGCAAAGGGCTACCACTCAGTTCACATGTGGGACTCCAGGAACTATGGATACCCTGGGCTTCTCCATGAGATTCTTTGGAGCTGTTTCAGAGTTGAATCAGTATCCACTGCCTCAGAATTGCCTGACTGCATCACTATAGAATCTCTCCTTATTTTTTAAGGTTTATTTATTTATTTATTATCTATTTATTTTCTCTCTCTCTGTGTTTGTGTGTTTGTGTGTATATATGTGTGGGTGTGTGAGTGGAGGTCAAAGGACAACTTGCAGTAGACAGTTTTTACCTTCTCCTATATGGGATCTGGGGATTGAATTCAGGTCATCGGGTTTGGCAGCAAGGATCTTTACCTGCTGAGCCATCTTGCTGGCCCTATAGATCTCTTTTCTGGCAGGGCAAAATGATGACAAAAATGTGGAGATATGGGAAGTTGCTCATTTTGGGCTAGAGTGTAATTGATAAAGCCATTTGGAGGAGTATTTGGCAGCATCTAGTAAAGTTAAAAATATATTTGCTAGCTGGGCGTGGTGGCGCATGCCTTTAATCCCAGCACTCGGGAGGTGGAGGCAGGCGGATATCTGTGAGTTCAAGGCCAGCCTGGTCTACATAGTGAGTTCTAGGACAGCTGGGGCTACAGGGAGACCCTGTCAAAAAAGACAAAAATAATAATAATAATAATTCAGCAACATTAAAAAAAACTTAAAAAAAATATATTTGCTGATAATTTGGTTTATAGAAATCCTAGCACTTGGGAAGAAGAGGTAGGAAGATCAGGGGTTCAAGGACAGCCTAGGTTCCATGATACTCGGTCTCATAAAACAAACAAAAATGATGCTTAGGAAGTCATGATTATTGGAGACAGGGGCATGTGCATGCCTTGTGCTTGGAGCATAAGAGTTAAGCATTCTAGATTCTAAATCCTGAAGGATAATGCCATACCACTGTGAAACTACCCATGGTTTACAGGTAGGAAAGTAGGGTTTAGAGCTCTGCTTCTTTCTCTCTCTTTTTTTTTTTTTTTTTGTCTTTTGAGATAAGGTCTGCCTGTAGCAGCTGGCCTGGAACTCACCATATAGACCAGGCTGGCCTTGAACTCACAGAGATCCACTTTTTTTTTTTTTTTTTAAATGAGTGTGAGCGTATTGCCTGAATGTAGGTGAGTGCAGTAATGTCCTGCAATGCCTGCAGAGGACAAAAGAGGCTGTTGGATCCTCTGGAACTGGAGTTATGGACAGTTGTTAGCTGCTATGTGGATGTTGGGATTTGAACCCCGCTCTTCTGTGAGAACAGTCAGTGTTCTTAACCACTGAGCCATCTCTCCAGCCCCAGAGCTCTGCTTCTTAAACTTGTTCAGGCATTAGAATCACCTGGGCTGCTGAACCCAGATCTGTTCTGAGTTTCGGATTCTGTTGGTGGTGGGGCCTGAGAATTTTCTTCCTTGGCTTTCCGTCCCTGCACTCCACCATTTACCTCCCATTTTGTGACGTGATCTTACTATATAGCACAAGCTGGCCTTCAACTCCTGATCCTCCTGCTTCAGCTGTCTGGTGCTAGAGTTACAGGTGTGTGCCACCGCACCCAGTGAGCATTTGCATTTCTAAGTTCTTAGCTATTGCTGTTCTGAAGGCTGGGTTGGGCTGCCCTAGGTTCAGTGACTTGCTCAATCTGAGAAGTCTTTAATATATTTTTCTTATGTGTGTATGTGTATTTTGAGTGTGCATGTGGGTGTGCACATGGGTACTGGAGTTGGTTAACCAGGAGGTACTGCCAGACCCTGAACTGTAGAACTATTGCTCTGGCCTGTTTCCTGGCACCTGCTCTTCAGGAAGTAGAAGAAGCTGCTACCCCTGTTAGGACATTAGGAAAAACAGTTCTCTTGTTCTCAGGTTAAGCTGGAGGCTGGTGCCCCATAAGGGTGTATCACCATATATCACCCTCTGTTTGGCCCAGGTCTACCCCGGCTTCTTGGTGCTATACTGCACAGCGTCATCCAGCTAGCAACTGCTAACATCTCTGCTAGACTTTCTCTAGCTGGGGCATAATGCATTTTCTAGAGCTTGGAGGAGGGGATAGGGATTGCTGAGGATGATCCCCAAGCCTTTTCCTTTGGCCCCAAATGCAGTCCACACTAGAAGGAAGCCTATCACCATGATGCCAGGAGTAATTATTGGCCCTTGCTGTGTGAGGGCACGGTAACGGGCAACAGGTGAACCACAGGGCCCAGGTGATCTTGCTGAATGAGGGCTAGTGTAGAAGGCCTTTGGAGCTGTAGACTGGACACAGCTTTGGGCATTAGTCTTAGGATCCAGGTATCAGAGGCTCCCTCCAGTGGCCATTTTATGACAACTAAAGGACACCCTGTTCACAGGAGACACTCAGCATGTTATCTCTGTGCTTCTTTTATAGATTACACCTTAATGACTTAGCAAATTCTAATGCTCAAAATGTATCATTTGTCTACTTACGTAAATTTATGAAGTGCTTTCTACCAGCCAAGCACCCACCTTCCTTCCTTCTTCCTCTTCTTCCTCTTCTTCCTCCTCTTCCTCCTCCCCCTCCCCCTCCTCCCCCCCTTCTTTTCTTAATGTAACCAAGGCTGGCCTCAAACTGCTATGTAGCCAAGAATGACCTTGAACTACTGATCCTCCCATGTGCTAGAATTGTAGATGTGCACCACCATACTTGACTTTTGTCTTACTGAAATGCCCAAAGGCTGATCCTGTGCCGAGCTGGGAACCACCCAGGCAGATTCTCTGAGTCCTCTGTGTGTTTATGGGGATCTCGACGAAAGAGATGTGTTCTCACTCTTTCTTATTTTGAATGAGTCATTGGTGATTAGTGTAGTTGGGAATTAATTGGGAATTAAATCACCCTGGGGACACTTTCAGGAGTGGTGTGATAGATGAAGAATTGCATAAATTGTAGAATTGTCCATCAAAGCAAGCTTAAATTTTAACAGTTCGATGCTAGTTACCGGGGTCTTTGTTGTCAGGAGAAACAGTTATGCCACAGAGAAGGTGAGTTGACTGTATCCAGCCCCCAACTGTGTTGATGTTAGCCAGCTTTCTGTTGCTCTAACAAATGCTTGGCACGGTTAGTGTATAAAGAGAAAAGGTTTACTTTGGCTCATGGTTTTGGAGGGTTCTTCCTGTAGTCACATGGCCCTGTGGTGAAGCAGTATGTAATGGTGGGAGCGCTTGGCAGAGAAAGTCAGGAACTGAAAGGGAGCAGAAGAGAAGGGCCAGATTCCTGTGTGACTGGAAGACTTCCAGTTAGGTCCCACCCCTTAAAGATTCCACCACCTTCTTAATAGTGCCCCAAACTGGGGAACAAGTCTTTAAGCATTGACCACTGGGGGACACTTTTTTTTTTTTGGTCTTTTTGAGACAAGATCTCTCTGTAGCACCAGCTGTCCTGGAACTCACTATGTAGACCAGGCTGGCCTTGAACTCACAGAGATCTGCCTGCCTCTGCCTCCCAAGTGCTGGGATTAAAGGAGTGCACCACCATGCCCAGATAATTTAGAAGCTCTTGAAAACAGATTTTCTGGAGGATTGGGAATGGACCAGAGAAGTATGTGGGAGAAAAGTGTCCCTGGGCAGAGGGAACAGGCATGTAGAGGCACAAGTGTAGAGTGCACAGGGAAGAGCAGGAGGAAAGAGGTAATAGAGGCTGATCACAGAGCCTTCCAGGCCACTGTGATAAAAAAGATGTCCTTGTGACATGTGACACTGTTTATGGTAGCAAAAAATAGGTGAGGGCCTGCATGTGCCTCGGTTGAGTATAAACCAGACATGTTAGTACACATTGTAATTCTAGTACTTGAGAGGTAGGGCAGGAGGATCAAACATTCAAGGTCATCCTTAACTACATGGCAAGTTCAAGGCCATCCTGAGATACATGAGTCAGCCTCCCTCACTTCTCTCTCCCCTGTCTCTCTCCTTCCCCCTTCCCTCCCAGCCATATATATATGTATATGGCTGATGAGATAGTTCAGTGAGTAAAGACACCTGTCCCAGGCTTGACAACCTGAGTTCCATCCCAGGACCCACATGGTGTAAAGAGAGAATTGACTCCTACAATTTGTCCTTCTGACCTCCATGTATATGTGATGGCATATACACATACATAAATTTTTTTTATTTTCATTTTATGTGTATGAGTGTCTTGCCTGCATGTATGTGAGTGCACCTATGTCATGCAATGCTGCAGAGGTAGGAAGAGGGCTTCAGATTCCCCTGGAACTGGAGTAAAGGACGGTTTGTAGCCGCCATGTGGATGCTGGGAATCGAACCCAGGTCCTCTGCAAGAGCAGTCAGTGCTCTTAACCACTGAGCCATCTTTCCAGCCCCACAAATATTTTTTAAAATAAGTGATGTATGTGATTATTACTGGGAATGGCAACAAATCTGTGCAGTGGTTGGAAAGGATGAGGATAAGGACCTTGCACTGAAAGCATCTTGGAGTTCTGACACTGCAATGAAAAGACCATATCCTGTGATACTAGGGAAGTCCAGAAGCTTCTAGGAGTTGGGTTTGAAGTGTCCCTATAATCTGGGCTCCCTCTTGTCAGTCTCCTCTGCTGAAAGAGGCAAAGGCCTAAGAACTGCCAAGCCCTCTCAGACCATAAGCTTATTCCTGTTGGAAAAGGGTCATTAGCAAAGATGAAATGGCTTAGAAGCTGGGGAACATGCATAACCTATGGATTACCAGGAATGACCAGGATATTTGGGTACATAAGGAACTGCACACTTATTGTGAAGGAACCCAGTAGTTTTTCTGCTGACCTTCTTCCCTACCTCTTGTTTTCCATGGCAGCGAATGGTCAAGAACTTGGAGAAAGAGCTGGCATTGCTCAAGCAGGAACTAGCCATCCATGATAGCCTGGTAAGGGACTGGAGGCAGGAGGAGGGAAAGTTGCTGGTTGCAGGGAATACTAGAAGGCCTGGGGCTGGGGCAAACAGCATGATGGGTTAAGATCATGGCAGGTAAAATGAATTATATAGTAGGGAAGGATCATTAGTAGAGGCCTTGAAGGTGAGGCAGGTGAAGTCCTCCAATGGCCACCTGAGCCTATGTTCATGGTCCTAAAGATCCTCAAGACAGGCAGCATCCCCTCACCTTGTGGTCTGCTTAGACTTCTGGTTTGAAGCAACAGGCCTCATGTACAGAGACTTTTTCTTCCCTCCCTGATCTGTTTTCAAGATTTCAACCCACCGATGTTGGGGAACCCTGCTGCTAGGGTTGTAATCCTCCATGTCTGGATAGCTCTAAGGGGCTCGTGCTATATGGAAGGATGCCCCTTCTCAGCAGGAGGCCTCCTGCTCTCTACCTGACTTACCTGGAAAGTGCCGCCAAGCACGGATGCCTGACCTTATTTGGAACATGACCTTTGGCATAGTTACCTGGAGTAAAAACTACCCCCAGGTTTTTTCTATATGATAATTAGGCATTGCTCCGCAGTCGGATGATAGGAGCCTACTGCCACATGTAAATAAAGCATATTATGAGCACTTATCAGCTGCAGCATTGGCTAATGCCCCCACACTATATTTTCCCTAATCCCCACTGAATAAATGGAGCTGTTTCACTGAATCTAGAGCTGTTTCACTGAGTCTGGAGCTGTTTGTATCACTGAACCTGCCTCCCTGGAAGGGCTTTCTTCCGTCAGTGCTTACTGGCCATCCTGACTCCGTTCGTCGCTTCTGCTCCCTTTGTCCTCGTGGAACAGTGGCCAACGACCCATGAGAAGAGGGAGAGACCCCACACCTCCCCTACCCTATTGTCCCTCTCTGACCCATGTATCTAGCTTGCTTATGGGGCCCTCTCTGCCAGGATCAGATGTCAAAGCAAACCGTCAATATAGGCAGCCAGAGTCTGTGCCCAAGCTCCCTACTTTGACTCTCAGAATGGCCCATGCTTGGTCTCAGGTCTTTATTGTTTACACACCACATGTTTTTCACCCTCCTTCAAGTGCAACCGTACCCTCGTGACCTATGACCCCATGGATGAAATCCAGATTGCTGAGATCAACTCCCAGGTGCGGAGGTACCTGGAGGGGACACTGGACGAGATTGATGTAAGAAGCCCCTTCGTGGGACCATCATATTCAGCAGGCTTGGACTTCCCTGTCCTGGGCACCCCCAGCGTATACTGTGCTGGCCTCAGAGCCTGATGTGGAATTGGGGAGGGGTGGAGAGTGGTGCAGACCCCTGCTCAAGGGCCCTTTAGCCTACCATGGCCTCAGCTTCCATGTTAAGGTTATAAGCTTGTGGGGCTGCACAGAGTGTCCAGTGGGCTGGCATACACACCTGTACCAGGAGTGGGCTGTCTCAGGGGCACAGGCCCTGGAACCAAGTTGCTCTGGTGGAATCCCAGCTACCTCCTGGCTGAGTGACATGAGGCAGAATGCTTAACCCTAGGTACTGCAGTAGTGTGTAGCAAAGAGGGAAAATAGGCTGGGATTGAGTTGCTGTCCTTTAGGTAAGTTTGGCTATGCTGGCATGAAGCTGATAAAGGATGAGGATCAAGCTGGTCATCTCTAAGACTCTGCCTCCCCTTCACAGGGCCCATGTTGAAATATACAAAGAGAAATCAGCTGCCACACAGGAAGAGTCAGCAACAAGATGCATCTTGGTTTTTTTGTTTGGGTTTTTTTTTTTGTTTTTTTTTTTTGGTCTTTTTGAGACAGGGTCTCCCTGCAACCCCAGCTGGCTTGGAACTCCCTATGTAGGCCAGGCTGGCCTTGAACTCACAGAGATCTGCCTGCCTCTGCCTCCAGAGTGCTGGGATTAAAGACACCCAGCAGATGCATCTTGTTTTGACAGTACAGGCCATTAAATATCTCACCTGAGAACCACATGGGCTATCATCTCTCGCCCCTCCAAGTATCAGTGTGTATAACTGCAAAAGGAGGGCGTAAGACAAGTGAAGGATGGATTTTTGTGGCCTTTCCAGCAAGGAAAGCCTCAAACTAAACTTAATAAGTTTGATGTTCAGAGGATAATGAACTTCTGCAGAGTTCTCTGTGTGTGCGTGCATGTGCAAGGTTCATCAGTAGACTCCATCTGACAATGGTAGGCTGAACCTTCTAGAAGCAGGAGAAAGTTGATTATAAAATTATTGCAGAGCCAGGCGTAGGGGTGCGAACCTGTAGTCCCAGCACTTGGGAGGCAGAGGCAGGCTGATCTCTGTGACTTCAAGTCTAGCCTGGTCTACATAGTAAGTTTCAGGACAGCTGGGATTAAAGGCATGCACCACCACTCCAGGCCCAGTACTGCACATTTTTATGGTGGGTTTTCCTACCTCAGTTAACTCAATCTAGAAACTCTCCCTCACAGACATGCCTAGAGGTTTGTTCCCTAGGTGATTTTAGATTCTGTTAATAGTATTAACCAACATAGTAATTTTTTTTTTCTTTTTGAGACAGGGTTTCCCTGCAGCTCCAGAGGGCCTGGAACTCACTGTGTAGATCAGGCTGGACTGCATCTTGCAGAGATCTGCCTCCCTCTGTATCCCAAGTGCTGGGATTTAAAATGTGAGCCACTATGCCCAGCCCATCATAGTATTTTTAAGAAGTAGAACTATCCCCTTACATTTTATAGAGATTTCCATTTAGAAAAAGTATTTTTTGCTGGTTATGCTTAATGCATGCATGTAATCCCTGCATTTGGGAGACTGAGTGAGTTCAAGGCCATTATAGGCTACATAATGAGACCCTTTCTGAAAATCAAAGGGCCTAGAAAGATGGCTCAGTGGTTAAGAGCACATTCTGCTCTTGCAGAGGACCAGGGTTTGGTTCCCAGCACTCACATAACAGCTCCAAGCACCTGTAACTTCAGTTCCAGGAGATCCAATGCCCTCTTCTGGTCTCCAAAGGCACCAGACAGGTATATGGTGCATATACATACTTATAGGCAAAACACTCATATACATAAAATAAAAATAAAAGTAATCCCAGACCCACATCAAGCAGCTCACAATTGCTGCAGCTCCAGCTCTAGGGGGTCCAACACCTCCTTGTCACCTCTGAAGGTTTATAGATGCATGCATTCATACACAAACACACAGACACTCACATACTAATAAATAAATAAGTAATAAATACATAAATATTTCTAAAGACCACAAAAAAATAAAAGTAAATTAAAAAAAAACAACAAAAGGTAACTTTTCATAAAACCTCAGCAAAATATTCTATTTTAAAGCTACTAATCAGGCCTGGGGATGTAGCTCAGTTGATAGAGTGCTTGCCTAGCATGTAGGAAGCCTTGGGTTTGATGCCTAGCATCACATACAATGGACCTGGTGGCACATGCCTGTAATCCCCACACATGAGAGGTAGAAGGAAGAGGACAGGAAGTTCAAGGACATCCTCGGTTATGTAGCAAGTTCCAGGCCAGTTTGGGATATATGAACTTTAGTCTCAAAACAGTCAGATGAGATCCTGTCTCAAAACAGACAGGGGGCTGGAGAGATGGCTCAGTGGTTAAGAACCCTGACTATTCTTGCAGAGGACCTGGGATTGGTTCCCAGCATCCATATGACAGTTAACAACCATCTGTAACTCCAGTTCCAGAGGATCCAATGCTCTCTTCTGGCCTCCAGGGGCATTGCATGCACAGGTACACTTACATACATACACAAAAAACACATATAAAATAAAAATAAGGGACTGAAGAGATGGGACTCAGTGGTTAAGAGCACTGATTGCTCTTGCAGAGGACCCAGGTTTGGTTCCCAGCACCCACAAGGCAGCTAACAACCATCTCTACAGTTCCAGGGGATTCAATGCGCTCTTCTGACCTCTGGGCATTGCACAATACAGGAGCACTTACAGACATGCAGACAATACACTCATACACATAAAACATAAAAGTTCTGGGTGTGGTGGTACATGCCTTTAATCCCAGCACTCAGGAGACAGAGGCAGGTAGATCTCTGTGAGACTGAAGTCAGCTTGGTCTACATAGTGAGTTCCAGGTCAGCTGGGGCTACAGGGAGACTCTGTCTCAAAAAAAAAGAGGGGGGGGAGGGTGCAGAGTCAGTGAAGTATTTAGGGTCCTGATTTCTCTGCTAATGGATAAACACAGCCTGGTTCCTGGATGCGACTGTCTAAACTCTGCTGTCCTCTTTTTCTGCCAGATAATCAATCTAAGACAGATCCGGGAGGTGTTCAACCAGTTCCGGGTGGTTTTGAGGTGAGCTGCCCCTACTCCCAGCCCCTCCTCATTCTGCCTTAGGCTGCCATTTTTATTTTTCACAGTCTTGGAACTTGCCTTCAAGAAAATCCCTGTATGTGGTAATGGGGTGTGGGGAGCCATATGTATGCATATTTGTGTGTGAAGAGCACCCCTCTTTCTATGGTATGTAAGGAACTAGATCCTAATGTTTACGGTGTGCCCATGTCCCTGGTGAATGTTTACTGAGTCCGTTCATCAGATTGTAACTGTGGAATGCCAGCTGTGAGTGTGCCCAGAGCAGAACCTCATGAATCTTCCATATCCTCTATCTCACATGCTTTATTAAATGTCATCTTGGAGCAGATATACCTGGCATATAAGGTGGCCCCTGCAGGTCTGGGAACTAGACAAGGGGTGTGTACATTGTGGAGGGGGATGGGCCCTTTTATATACTTTGTCTTTTGGCTTTTGATGAAGGCGGTGCTCCCTCACCAGGGCTGCACCTAAACAACTTCTAATCTCAATACTTGGATCTTAGCCCTGTGGACTCAGCATGGCCCCCAGTACAAGGTATTTTCTCTCTTTCTCGCTCTCTCCCAAGCCAACAGGAATGGGAAGTGGAGGCTGCCTTGCGAAGGAAGTACACTCTCATAGACAAGAATGACTTTGCAGCCATTTCTGTTGTCCAGAAGGTTAGCAAATTGCTGCTTGCTAATAGCACTCACCTCAGACTTTCTTTCCATCTTTGGTTAGACTGTTGTAGAAACTGCAAGTATCATGCATCAAGCTAGAGCTAGGAGTCCCCAGATCAAGATAACACCAGGATGAACATGAAATGCAAGTATCATGCATCAAACTAGAGCTAGGAGTCCCCAGATCAAGATAACACCAGGATGAACATGAAATGCCTTGTGCAAGAGAAACGACTTTGGGAACTGAGGAGATAGCTCAGTCAGTAAAGTGGTTGTTATGTCAGCACAAAGACTTCAGTTCAGTCCCCCAGAACCCATGTAAAAAAGCTGGGCATGGTGGTACACACTTGTAATCCAAACACTTGGGAGGAGGAGTCAGACAGATCCATGGGGCTTGGCATACATGGTAAGATCTAGGCTAGTGAGAAACCCTGTCTCAAAAAACCCATGGCAGACATCTCTCTATATCCTTAGGGATGGCCATATAAGATGGCTCACACTCAAGTATAATCCCAGCACTTGAGAGGCAGGAGGATTGGCCATGAGTTTGAGACCAATGTGGGTGACATAGTGAGTTCTAGCCTAGACATCAGAGTAAGAGCCTGTTGTCTCTAAGTAAGTAAATAAATAAATAAAAAGATCCTCAGGGAGGAACTAGTAGGAAGTTGGTGTAGAAAGTAGATATTAATGTGCTAGGGTCTACTAAATGTCTACTAAAGACAGCCTCAAGCTGGCAGCAGTAAAATCTCAGTATGTGGGGAGAACATGCTACCCCAAGACTTGGGCCATATACACTTACATCTTTGAGGGGCCCAAACATTTACTATAATCTATACCATTTGGCCTGACCTCTATCCAGGCAGGGCTTGTGGATGCTGAAGGCCACCTAGTAGGTGAACCTGATGGACAAAGCTTTGGACTTGAAGTCGCACCTTTTTCTACCAGACCCGGGAAGAAGCCCAAGTCTAAGAAGACATTGAAAAATCAGCTCAGGTGAGAGATCTGCTTTTCCTCCTTAGTGACTCTCCTCTTTGAATGAAGGGAGGGCACAGTGCTGCTTCCCCTCCACCCTGGCATCTCAGCTAGGTGCTCACTACTGCCAATACTGGCAAATCTGCGGGGTTCAAGTAGCCCTAGTGTTACCTCTCATCCTCACAGTAACCTCACAAAGTGAGCTAATTCTCCATTTTACTAAGTTACTTCCCAGAGTTACGCCATTGTTGAGCTGTAGTGTTGCAGGGATGCACTAGGCCAGCACTACAGAGCCTGTGCCCTCTTGCTCTTCCTGTGCCAGCACTCTGTGAGTTCAAGGCCAGCCTGGTCTACATAGTAATTTCCAGGTCAGCTGGGCTACAGGGAGACCTTGTCTCAAAAAGACCAAAAAAAAAAAAAGGAAAAAAAAGGATGGGGCTACAGAGATGGCTCAGTGATAAGAAAGGGCACATAGTGCTCTTACAGAGAACCAAGTTTGGTTCCTGGGAACTGTGTCCAGTGGGGGGATCCAACGACTCTGGCCTCCCTGAGCACTGCACTCAGGTGCACAAACCTATATAACATATACACAATTCAAAAGATTGGAGCTGAATAACTTGGGTTGCTTGGTGTAGTAGGGCTAAGAAAGGTCTCATCTTAGGGTCTTACTATGCTTAGTACTTCACGACCCATGACTGGAACTTGGGGATTCCCTGCCTTTTTTTCAGCTCCTCATCAAGAAAGGAAGGTGCCAGCAGCCCTGTGAGTGGCAAGGACCTGGATATGATTTCAATCTCCAGGACCCAGCTGGCCCCATCCTCCAAAGATGGGGATGTCAAAGACATGCTTCTACGGGACCAGGAAACTTCCACCATTGAACCACTTCCCTCCAACTCCCTAAAGGATGAATCACGCCCACCCAGGTAACCATCTAAAGACAGATCTTGCACCAGCTCTGATCAATCCACACCAGCATGTGATCCTTACATGTTGAGTAAAGAGTGCCTTATAGCAGAAGAGAAATAAAGGGGAAAATGGAACAAGTCCAAAAGGAAGAAACAGATAGCTTACACATAAACCTCAGGAGTCTTCCAGAATACAGTATTGGCGGTATAGATAAGCATAGCTGCCTTCCAAAATGCACAGTTACACAAGAATTATTTTAGGGGCCAGCAAGATGACTCAGTGAATAAAGGTGCTTGCCACCAGGACCTGAATTTGATTCCCAGGACCCACATGGTAGAAGGAGAGAACTGACTCCCACAAGTTGTTGTCTGACCTCCATGTGCTGTGGTGTGTGTGTATGTGTCCCACGGCGCCCAGGGTGGAAGGAGAGAGATGACTCCCCCAAGTTGTTGTCTGACCTCCATGTGCTGTGGTGTGTGTGCCTAACACACACACACACACACACACACACACACACACACACACACACACAAATGATGGAAATAATTCATTCAAAAGGTTCAAAAAAAATTTTTTTTTTGGTCGTTTTGAGACAGGGTCTCCCTGTAGCCCCAGCTGTCCTGGAACTCACTGTGTAGACCAGGCTGGCCTTGAACTCACAGAGATCCACCTGCCTCTGCCTCCAAAGTGCTGGGATTAAAGGCGTGTGCCACCACGCCCGGCAAAAGGTTCAAAATTCTTAAAAGATATAGTGGAGAGATGGCTCAGTGGTTAAGAACGCTGGCTGTTCTTGCGGAAGACCCAGGTTGGAATCCCAGCACCCACATGGTGGCTAACAACTATCTGTAACTCCAGCTCCAGGGGATCTCTTCTGTTCTCTACAGGTGCTTCATGACACAGGTGCACTTATACACATGCAGGCATAACATTCATACATATAAATAAAAATACATTAAAAAATTCTTAAGATGTATAACTCCTTGTTTCTGCACCCACCTTCCTAGTAGGAAAGCAATTGTTGTTTATTTGACTTTTTAAAAAAGATTTTATTTTTTATTTATGTGTATGTGTGTGCATAGTGACTATGCATGTGGGCACCTGCATAGGTCAGAAGAGGGCCTAGGATCCTCTGGAACTGGAGTTACAGGTGGTTGTAAGCTGCCTGATATGGGTACTGGGAACTGAACCCAGGTCCTTTGCAAGAGCAGCAAGTGCTCTTTAACCACTCAGCCATCTCTCCAGCCCCCATTAATTGTGTTTTTGGGAATCCATGCTAAGGAAATACAAGTGGGGACAAGATTTATGTAATAACACATTTATTACATTAAGTTGAAAAGACAAAAATTTCTTAAACACCTTAAATAGTATTATATCAAATTCGTTAAATGAATTATTATCTCTGCCCTTGGGTTATGTAAGAATGTGCATGAAGAACTTTTTCTGAGCTTATACACATTTCACAATATTCAGAGAAATTAAAGAATTGCATGGTGAATACTCGTATACTGAGTGCCCTCTCATTTCTATGGTTGATGTGCTATTATATTCATTCTATCTTGTCTTATCCATGTGTCTTTTTAAAAAATACATTTCAGTGAGTTCAAGGCCAGCTGGGGCTACAGGAGACCCTGTCTCAAAAAAAACAAAACAAAAAAAAATTGCACTTCATAAATAAATAAATAAATAAATAAATAAATAAATACATTTCAGGGACTGGAGAGATGGCTCAGGAGTTAAGAGCACTGGCTGCTCTTTCAGAGGACCCAGGTCAGATTCCTAGCACCCACATGGTGGCTAACAACCATCCATAACTCCAGTTCCATGGAATCCAACGCCCTCTTCTGGCCTCCATGGGCTTTGCACAATGCACTCACTCATACACACAAACACACTTACATATACACAGGCAAAACACTCATACACATAAAATAAAAATAAAATACATTTCAAAGTAAGTTGCCAACATCAATCCACATCCCTCTGCATCAACTTCATCTTATAGCTCATTAACTAGAATTCTCAGAGAATTTTGTGTGTGTTGAGGGGTATGTATGTTGCATGTTGCATGAGTCAGCTAGGCTGACTGACTAGCAAGCTTTCAGGATCTGTTTCTGTCACTCAGTGCTGGAGTTATATGCATGAGCAGATTTGCATGACTTCTTATGTGGGTGCTGCAGTGATGTGTGAGACTTTTTCCTGAGAAGACATGAACAAAAGTCTGCTCACTCTAGATAAGGAACCAATGATAGAACAAAGTAAGGATTCCGCCAAAGTCTTAAGTTGGCAAACCAATGACTCTACTGAGGTTACTATAGGAATGTGGGTAAGGACTTACTCACAGGACCATGAATAACTCAAAGGTAGCTGCATCACCAAAAAAGCTGTGTTCTCTGGAACTCTCTGCATGACTTTCAGGCAGCTTGACAAGTCAGAGAATCTCCTCCCCACAGATTGTTGACTGCTTCTCTGCTTCTGTAACCTGGAAGAGGGGTGTGGTGAATACAGTTAGTTTCAGGAACTTTCTTTTTCTTTTTTGTCTTTTTTGAGACATAGTCTCCCTGTAGCCCCAGCTGGCCTGGAGCTCACTATGGAGACCAGGCTGGCCTTGAACTCCCAAGTGCTGGGATTAAAGGCATGCACCATCACACCCAGCCAGTTTCAGAACATTCTGAGACTCCTGAGCTGTTTATTTCCCAGTCTCATGGGCTTCCCTTCTGCCTCCTGGAGGGAATGCTTCCATTTGGAGGAAATTGCTACACAACATGGGGATTTGAACTCAGGTCCTCATGCTTGCAGATCAAGTGCTCTAGCCGAGTAAATCATCCCCCAATCTCCTCTCAGAGACATTTTAACACTGCAAAATAATGCTTCTGTGAAAAAAGTATGATCATATATTCTACGCGATTTCAACCAATCAAAAATATATTTAAGAAATCCAAAGGGTGGGGCTGGAGAGATGGCTCAGTGGTTAAGAGCACTGACTGCTCTTGCAGAGGACCCAGGTTCAATTCCCAGTACCCACATAGTGGCTATGAACCATCCTTAACTCCAGTTCCAGGGGAATCTGAAGCCCTCTTCTGACGTCCACAGCATTGCACAACACAGGTGCACTCACATACATGCAGGCAAAACACTTATACACATAAAAATTAAAAAAAAAATTTTAATTCAAAGGGATTCAACAAGGTGTAGTTGACAATTGGGTGATGAGTGATTTTCTTTCCAACCCCTTATCTTAGGTTTCCTCAGCTTGTACAGTGGGGCCTGGGTCCTATGTGCTGAGTAGAACAAAAGTGAGGGAATGATGCCTACACATAGGCTTCCATCTGGCAGAGGTAGTACTTAGGAATCCTGCCTCCTGCCCACAGAAGTTGCAGAGAGGAAAGATGAAGTACCTTGTGCCTCCAAAGCAGCCACCCCATTTCTCTCAACTCTGACTTCTCCCTCTGTCCCTGGACCCAGCACCCCACCCTCCAAGCCTGTGGCTTTTGAGGAGTTTAAGAATGAAAGAGGTAGTGAGATCAACCGTATCTTCAAAGAGAACAAATCCATCTTGAATGAACGGAGGAAAAGGGCCAGTGAGACCACCCAGCGCATCAATGCCATCAAGCGGGAGATTGATGTGACCAAGGATGCCCTAAATTTCCAGAAGTCACTACGGGAGAGACAAGGTAAATGTGAAGGGGGCTGTGGGGACTCAGAATCATCCTGTTCCAAGTGTAGCTAGCTGCCTTGGGCACTAAAGGACCAAGATAGACCTCCATTAGAGGGCTCTAGGATGTGACCTTTACTCCTAGGCCATCTCCTTGGCTCTAGACAACCCCTCCTCTCAGCCAGCCTCTGCCTCGGTCATTGCTTGCTGTATTTTTTCAGAGCTAACTCTGAGTCCTCCTTCTGCTACGTACTGCTGTCCGTGGAGACCCTTGGTCCTGTGAGGGATGAAGATCCCCACTACTAATGATGAGCATTGGAGATGCAGAGTACTGAAAGCAAAGCAGCTTATTTTATGACTTTGCAAAGGCAGATGCCACTGATAAAAAAAAATGGTGATGTGGTACAAGAGTACAAGGAGCAGTTTTTACAGCTCTGAAGGAGTACAGTCTTACACATGATCTGCCACTTAATGTTTGTCTATTCCTCAACAAATAGCATTCTAGAGTTTATCTCTACATCTTACATTGTGTTTATTTTAAAGCATTTCAGGAGCTTGTCATGTCTGCAGGTCATTAGACATACTTGGCTATTAATAAATTTATACTCTAGCTGGGTGTGGTGGCCCACACGCCTTTAATCTCTGCGAGATTGAGGCCAATCTGGTTTACATAGCAAGTTTCAGGTCAGCTGAGGCTACAGGAAGACACTGTCAAAAAGACCAAAAAACATTTTTTTAAATAATTTTTTACTCTAAATTTTTAATTTGGGTGAGAGTAGCTAGACTAGCAGGTGTTAACAGTGACAGTGGCCCCGTGTTTTCTTATTCATATGTAACTGAACCTAAGCTGACCCAAGGCACTTGTGGAAAATGGACCATTATTTTTTTATTTCTTTTGTTTTTTGGTCTTTTTGAGACAGGGTCTTTCCTGTAGCCCCAGCTGGCCTGGAACTCACTATGTAGACCAAGCTGGCCTGGAACTCAGAGATCTGCCTGCCTCCTGAATGCTGGGATTAAAGACGTGTACCACCATGCCCATCTTATTTTTTATTTCTTACAGAACTGCAGAACTGTTTTCAGGAGATGGGCTGTTGGTGGCCTCTACAAGGTCACTGTTCCCTGATGTGGTCTCCTTTTGCTCATGGTGTTCAGATTGGGGTGGGGGTACTGGTGTGGACCTTGAGAAATGAAAATGAGGATGCCAGAGGGTCAAAGGACCTGATGTTAATAAGACCATTACCAATACCAAAGTCCTGACACCTGTGCTAGCCTGGCAGGCTTGTCTCCTAGAACAAGTAGTATGTTTTCCCTAGTAAGAAGAGCAGGAATCCTGCATGGGGACGATGCTAACATGGTTGCCCTGAACTATGACTTTGTCCTAGCGTTACACACAGCCTACATCTGTACTGTGGGCCAGGAATAGTCAAGTTTGAGTGTGCAGAGGACTCAATTGGGACAACTAGTCAAACGTAGAGTCTAGTGGTTCTAAGAGATTCAAGGCCAAGCCTGCATTTTAATGAGTAATTACCCTGACTCTGAGAAGGGGTTTCAACTAGGTGTGGAGATGCACACCTGTAATCCAGTTCAACACATAGGAGGCAAAGGCAGGAGGATCGGCACAATTTCACCTCCATCCTGATCTATTTTGTAAGTTCCAAGTCAGCCAGTACTGCATAGTGAGACCTTGTCTCAAAAAAATGGTCAATAAGATGGCTCATTGGGTAAGGGCACTTGTACATTTGCCACTAAGAATGACAATGTGAGTTCAATCCCTGGAACCCACATGGTGGGAGAGAACTGACTCCTGAGAATTATCCTCTGACCTCCTCACTTGCACTGTAACATCTTCACAAACAACAGCAACACACATATAATCAATCGACTTTTTGTCTTTTTGAGACAGGTCTCCCTGTAGCCCCAGCTGGCCTGGAACTCACTATGGTGACCAGGCTGGCCTTGGCCTCTATCTCACAGAGATCCTCTTACCTCTGTCTCCCAAGTGCTGGGATTAAAGGCATGTTCCATCATGCCTAGAAAATTTAAACATTTACCTCAGTCTTTAAAATAGTAAAATAGATTTATAAAAAATAAAGGGAGAGCTGGAGAGATGGCTCAGCAGTTAAGAGCACTGGTTGATCTTGCAGGGCAGCCGGGTTTTGTTTACAGCAACCATGTGGCAGCTAACCACCATCTAACTCCAGTTCTAGGGGAATCCAACCCCCTTTTCTGACTTCCAAAAGCATTGCATGCACATTGTGCATTTACATATATGGCAGGCAAAACACTTATAAAAATTTTTCAAAAACAAACCTAAATAAATAAATGGAGTTCAGAGTCCACATTGTTATTCTTCCCTAGCATAGCCAGGGCACATCACAGGCCTTTCCTTGCTAAATCACAGCCCTGTTCCAGGCCAGCTTTCAGGAGTGACTACTAGATGTCACTTCTCATTTTCTTGCAGCTCCAAAGTTGGGTCATTTCACTCTCAGAGGTAACTTTACTTCCAAATTACTGTGCCTTTGGCTTATACCCTACAGACCAACTATGACATGCCATTCCAGAGGGCAAAGCTCTGCAAGGGCCTCGGAAGCTAGAGAAAGCCAGAGGCAGCAGCTCCAGACATGTCCCTACCCAGATCCCTTAGGGAGGACATAGTGAAGGTCTCAGAACCAGCAAGCACTTCTTTTTCACTGTGCTCATGTGTTATTTGAAAATACAGCCCCTGAGCTGGGCATGGTGGTGTACACCTTTAGTCCCAACACTCTGGAAACAGAGGGACAGGGATCTCTATGAGTTCAAGGGCAACCTGGTCTAAATATCAAATTTCAGGCCAGTTGGGACTACAGAGAGAGACCCTGTCTCAAAAAGACCGAGAGAGAGAGAGAGAGAGAGAAGGGGCTGGACAGATGGCTCAGCAGTAAGAGAGCTGACTGCTCTTGCAGAGGACCTGGGTTCGATTCCCAGCACCCACATGGTGGCTAAGTACCATCTTTAACTCCAGTTCCAGGGGAATCCGAAGCTCTCTTCTCACCTCCGAGGCATTGCATGACACAGGTGCACTCACATACATGCAGGCAATACACTCATACACATAAAATAAAAATAGTTTTGAAAAAAGAAAAGAAAAAGGAAAAGAAAATACAGCTCTTGATATATTTGTATATTTCAAATGTATGTATGGAGCTAGGTGTGGTGCCACATGCTTTTAATTCTAGCACTCAGGAGCAGAGGCAGTGAATCTCTGTGGGATCAAGGCCAGCCCGGTCTACATAGCAAGTTCTAGGCCAGTTGGAACTACAAGGAAACCCTCTCTCAGAAAAACAAAGCAGAAGAGCAGCAACCCCCACCCCCCGTGTATGTATGCACTGTGACATATCATTTACTCTTCTTTTTTTTTTTGGTCTTTTTGAGACAGGGTTTCTCTGTAGTCCAAACTGACCTGGAACTCACTATGTAGACCAGGCTGGCCTTGAACTTACAGAGATCCATCTGCCTCTGCCTCCTGAGTGCTTGGATTAAAGTCAAGCATCACCACGCCCAGTGCATTTACACTTAAATATACCTGAAAATGGACTTTAAATTTTATTTAATATGCCTGCATTCATGTGTGTATGTTGCAACAGGGTCTTATTCAGTTGCCCAGATAGTTGCCCAGCTGAACTTTTGATTCTCCTGCCTTAACCTCCCAAGTAACTAGGATTATAGGCCTATACCACCAAGCCTAGTGAAAATGGACATTTTTTTTTTTTTTTTTTTTTTTTGGGAAAGGGTCTTGCTTTGTAAACCAGGCTGGCCTTGAACTCACAGAGATCTGCCTGCCTTTGCCTCCTGAGTGCTGGGACTATAGGTGTGTGCCACCATACCCGGCTTGAAAATGGACATGAGATGAGGAAGAAATATGGAAATTTTTTTGTGATAGGGTCTCATGTAACCTGGACTGACCTTGAAGTCAATATGTAGCCAAGAATGTCCTTGAAGTCCTGTCTGCCTCAGCTATGATTACATGCATGTACCATCATGCCTACCTATGGAATAGGGAATATTTATACATTGTGTGAAATTCCTAAAGAATCAATAAAAATATTTAAAAAGGGATATTTTTAAAATATTTTATTTTTGTTTTATGTGTTTGAGTGTTATGCCTGCATGTAAGTAAGCGCACCCATGTCGTGCAGTGCCCACGAAGGACAGAAGAGGCTCTCGGATCCCCTGGAACTGGAGTTATGGACATATTTGAACCCAGGTCTTCTGCAAGAACAATCCTTGTTCTTAACCACCGAGCCATCTCTCCAGCCCCCCAAAAGGGATATTTTTAAAATACTTTATAATTTGCCAATGTGGTGACTTAAGCCTATAATTCCATAGTGAATTCCAGGTCAGCGTAGCTACAGAGTTTTTGTTTTTTGGGGGGCGGGGTTTTGGTGGTTTTTTTTTTTTTTGAGACAGGGTCTCCCTGTAGCTCCAGCTGACCTGACACTTGCTATGTAGCCCAGGCTGGCTTTAATCTCACAGAGATCTGCCTGCCTCTGCCTCCTGAGCACTGGGCTAAAGTGTGTGCCACCATACCCAGTTTGGCTACAGAGTCCTTAAAAAAAAAAAAAGCAAACACATATTTATTTAATTTGGGGGGGCGGATCTTTTTGGGACAGGGTGTCCCTGTAGCAGCAGCTGATCTGGAACTCGCTATGCAGACCAGGCTGGCTTTGAACTCATAGAGATCCACCTGCTTCTCCCAAGTGCTGAGATTAAAGGCGTGTGCCCAGCCATATTTATTTAATTTTATATTATCAAAAAATTTTAGTTGAGGGGCTGGAGAGATGGCTCAGTGGTTAAGAGCACTGACTGCTCTTGCATAGAACCCGGTTTTGATTCCCAGCACCCACATGGCGGCTATGAATCAGCCGTCCTTTACTCTAGTTCCAGGGGAATCTGAAGACCTCTTCTGACCTCCGCAGCATTGCACAACACAGGTGCACTCACATACATGCAGGCAATACACTCATACACATAAAATTAAAATAATAAAATATTTTTAGAAATTTTTAGTTGGACATAGCTGGAACATTAGTGTTTTGTAAAAGAAAATGAAAATCATCTTTCAATTCAGTTTCCATTTTTATTCCTGGGAGACAGACTCCCTGGATAGTACAAAGATGTCCATAGCCATTCCTCATTTCAAAGGAGCACTGTGAAGATTGTAAAGGCTCTTTGCTTGCCAAATAGCCACATTAGAGATACCCCATGACACACAGCTCACAACAGGTTACTGCAGTAAAGGTGAGGGACCCACTCAACTCTCACCCCAAATCCCGATCTCAGAGTTGTGGCCCTTGCCTCTCCATGAGTGGTACAGGGACATTTACATGTCTTACTCTTCCTGCTAGCCCCTTACAAACATGAGTAGAAGTCTTAAGGCTTTTCTCTAGCAACTGGGGACTGCACTTGAGCCACACATCTCAAACAGTGGGGACAAAGCATTGTCCCCATACTTGGGGAGGTACAATTTGATGTGACTCGTTAAGTTTTCAGGTACTATGGGCAGATAGCTAGGTGAATAGTTTTGTAGATCATATTATTTTCTCTTAACCCAGCAACTCTCACCAAACTGACAGTTTGTGGCTAAGAGTACAACTGACCCCTCCCCCTGAATCCAGAGTGAAGGAAATCCACTCAATGTGATACAGAGTTTTTATTATCTCTAACAGGAAGGTAGTGGACAGATATTGAAACAAGCAGGAGATAATTGAAATGTGGATTTATATCTACTGCTATTAGTTTAATAAGGAGTTTTGCTCATATGCCTTGTGGTACTAGCCAATGATGGTAGTTCATATGTATAACTTACAAGAAAAATAAACATTTGAGAGACTGAAGGTATTGCTCATTTGGTAAAGTGCTTTCCTAATATGCACAACACAAAGGCCTAGGTTCAATTCATAGCACCACATAGAACTGGGTGCACAACATTCTCAGCTACATAGCAGGTTCATGGTAGCCAGCCTGGGATGAGGTGACCCTGTCTCAAAAGAAAAAAATTACATAAAAGGGTAAATATCTTTATCTGATGGCAAGATCAAAATTAACATGGTACATGGACCATCTCTATCCTCACCTCTCCTGTCTGTCCTAAAATATCCCATTGACCTGAGGCATCTCTACTTATATGCATACTGTGTTGCCTGGCCTTCTTGTACTTTGCCCACTCCTTACACTTTCAGCCCTGCCTCCTGTCTCCTGCCACTCAGGATTTGCCCACACTGTGCCTTTTTTCTGCAATGCCATCCCTCCCCTTCCCAAATGACTACCTTCCCATTTCCTAAGCTCTTCCATCATCCTGCAGGTGAGTACGAGAATAAAGGACTGATGATCATCGATGAGGAGGAATTTCTGCTGATCCTGAAGCTCAAAGACCTTAAGAAGCAGTACCGAAATGAGTACCAGGAACTGCGTGACCTCAGGGCTGAGATCCAGTACTGCCAGCGCCTGGTGGATCAGTGTCGCCACCGCCTGCTCATGGGTATCCCCATTGGGGAGGTTGGCTAGCCCCGTGAGGTCGAGGCTCAGGGCGGGGCCCCAGGCTCATTTCTGGAAGTGCCCTCTGACCTGCTCACTGCAGAGGTGGGATTCAGTCAGGGGCATCAGGTATGTGGTTTCAGGACTGTGAGGGTGAGAAAAGGGTGAGATGCTGGAACAGGAAGTGAATGGAGGTAAGCCTGAAGCAGACCTGCACAGCCTTTATCTGATTTCCCAGAGGCTCCATCACACTTCATGGTGCTGTCTCCCTGCCTCTTACAGAATTTGACATTTGGTACAATGAATCCTTTGTCATCCCTGAGGACATGCAGGTAGCACTGAAACTCAGCAGCAGCATCCGGCCAGGCATGGTGCCTGTCAACAGGATTGTGTCTCTGGTAAGCAGCACAGGGTAGGAGTGTGGTGACAGTTGAGCATGGAGCAGTGGCAGTAATATGGGTGATTCAGCCTCTTCCATCGGCTAAGGTCCAGTACTCCTAGCTCCCAGACAGGGAGGTGGGTGTAGTCCAAGTTTCTACAGAAACAAAGGACAGAGACAAAGGAATACCACAATTCTTGTTGCCACCTTTCTGCAGAGCCCAAGTGGCTTTTTTTTGTTTTTTGGTCTTTTTGAGACAAGATCTCCCTGTAGCCCCAGCTGGCCTGGAACTTGCTGTGTAGACCATGCTGGCCTCGAACTCACAGAGATCTGCCTGCCTCTGCCTCCCGAGTGCTGGGATTAATGGCATGTGCCACCATGCCCGGTCACCCAAGTGGCTCTTATGGGGCATCTGTGAAGATTCTGACAGACATGGGGCCTACAGATTCTCTGGGTAGGTTTGTGAACTCAGCAAGGGACTGTCAAGATGCCTAGCACAGACCCTGGCAGGGTGGATCCTGGCAGTGCCAGGCTGAGGGATTGTGCTGTGTTGGGCCTTCCCCAGGGAGAAGATGACCAGGACAGGTTCAGCCAGCTGCAACAGACAGTACTGCCTGAGGGTCCTGATTCCATCTCCTACTATAATGCCAAAGTCAAGACATTACAGAAGGTAACTTCAGAGGTTCATATCTTTGAGGGTGGGGGCCCAAGGCCTTCATTACTAGGGCACCCAGAATCTTAATCCCTATTAGATAGTGGAGGGTGGAAGGATGGAATGGTACCAGCCCAGGGAGACCCAGAGGCATCATCTGTCAGCTCCAGACTTGGACAAGGATAGACTTTGGAAGGGCAGGAGGATCACATAGATCATGACCAGGCCTGGACATGGCTGGTAAGGGCTAACCATGTATGTTCATAACCCATGCCAAGACAAGGAAAGGGATCTGCTGAGGCCACTACCTGTAGAGGAGGACCTCTTCAAGGAGCCACCCTGTACAATGGCAGGAAATAGAGGACTACTTGTTTCCAAGGTGGAACTAGACATAGTTTCAGCCACAGGTAGAGCCTGTGATTCTCTTCTCTAAGCAGACTGAGCTGGAGCAGTCTTCACTTTGCCAAGGCCCAGTCTGGAGGCAGGACACAGAAGCCCTATGTGTTATGCATCCCTCTGTGCTCAGAGGCAGGCTTTGTGGGTGATGATGTCTGTTTGTTTGTTTGAGATAGGGTCTCATGTATCCCAGGATGCCTCAAACTTGTTATGTAGCCAAGGATAACCTTGACCTCCTAATCCCCTGCATCCACCACCCAAGTGCTGGATTACAGATGTGTGCTTCCACACTCAGTACTCTTTCCTATTTTTCTAAAGCTCTCTCATAATGAGACTTGTGGTGTGCATGTGTGTTTGTGCATACATGTATGTATATTTTAAATCACAAGCTCATGTTTGATTGAACTTAAGTTCTAGGAATCTGTATTAATTACTTTTCTGTTGCTGTGATAAAATACTCTGACAAAAGCAACTTAGGGAAGAAAGGGTTTATTTTGGCTTTCAGTTCCAGAGGGTAGCCTCCATCATGGTGGGAAAGGCACAGCAACAGTCAGGGAAACCATTGTGGGAGGAGCAGGAAGCTAGGTGATCACATTTCATTCACACATAGGAGGCAGAGAGAGAGAACAAGAAGTTAGGCAAAGCTATAAACCTTCAAAACCACCCCCTATTGACATACTTTCTCCAGCAAGGCTCCACCTCCTAAAGGTTCTATAATCTTCCCAAACAGTGCCACCAACTGGAAACCAAGTGTTCAAACACATGAGTCTTTTGGGGACATTTATTTTTCAAACCACCAGAGTCCTAAGCACCCAAGTTGAAATTACTTTCTTCCTGAAGAGTGTGCACATGCATTTTGTTTTGTTTTTTTTGTTTGTTTGTTTTGTTTTGTTTTGTGTCTTTTTTTGAGACAGGGTCTCCTTTTAGTCCCAGCTGTCCTGGAACTCACTATGCAGACCAGGCTGGCCTTGAACTCACAGAGATCCTCCTGCCTTTGCCTCCGAGTGCTGGAATTAAAGGCGTGCACCACCACACCCAGCTTGTTTTGTTTTTTAAGAAAAGTTTCTGCTGGGCGTGTGGCCTGTAGCCCCAGCACTCGGGAGGCAGAAGCAGGCAGATCTCTGTGAGTTCAAGGCCAGCCTGGTCTACACAGTGAGTTCCAGGCCACCCGAGGCTGCAGGGAGACCCTGACTCAAAAGGACAAAAAAAATAAATAAGAAGGTCTCATTGAGTCTGGCCTCAAACTCACTATGCAGCTGAAGATGATCTTGAGCTCCTGATAGTCCTGCTTCTACCTCCCAAATGCTGGGATTACACTATGCACCACCATGCCCAGCTGCTTTTTGTTCTTTGAAAGAGTCTCCAGTAGTTCAGGCTGGCCTCGAACTTGCTAAGTAGCAAGGGGGCAGTCTTGAACCTCGGATACTCTTGCTTCTGCCTCCTAAGTAATGAGATTATAAGCCTTCACTACTACATCTGTCTGCACTTGCATTTTGCGGTTACCCGTCAAGTTTTACCAAACCAGGACCATTTTATACCCTTCAGGAATTCCATCTTGAGTGCTTAGGGATACAGCCCAGAAGTAGAGCACTTGCCTAGCATATGTGAGGCCCTGGGTTCAATCCCTAGTATGGCATGAGGGAAAAGTTCCATCTGGAGCTGAGTATGGTGATGAATCCTATAATCCCAGCACAAGGGAAGCTCAGGCAGGAGTATCTTGAGTTCAAGGCAATCTTGGGCTATATATTGAAACCCTATCTCAAGAAAAAAATTCCAGCTTAGTGTTGGCATTTCAACTTCGATGCCATACTTGATGGGGAATCTGGAGTTCCTCTCCCTATTACAAACTAGCTTTAGCATTTTCTTGTTTCTTTTTTTAGTATTTTACCATTTTAAAATTTTATTTACTGAGCCAGGCGTGGTGGTGCACACATTTAATCCCCACTTGGGAGGCAGAGGCAGGCAGATTTCTGTGAGTTCCAGGCCAGCCTGGTTTCCATTAGTGAATCCAGGCCAGCTGCGGCTAAGGGGAAACCTTGTCTCAAAAAAGGCCAAAAAAATTTTTTTTATTTATTTAGTATTATTTTATGTGTGTGTCTTCACTACATGTATTTAAGTGCACCACATGCATGTAATGCCCATGGAGAAAATTGGATCCCCTGTAACTGGAGTTATGGATGATTGTTAGCTACCATATGGGTGCTGGGAATTGAACCCAGGTCCTCTACAAGAACAGCTAGTGCTCTTAACTGCTGAGCCATCTGTGAAGCTCCTTATTATTTTATGTGTATGTTTCTGTGTATGTGTGAGTATGTGCACATGAGTGCAGGAGTGCAGGCATCTAGAGAATTCAGAAGAGGATGTTAGATCCCCTGGAGCTGGAGCTATAGGCGGTTGTGAGCTGCCTGATGTGGGTGCTTGTTACCAAGCTCAGGCCCTCTGTAAGAGTACAGATTCTTTTTTTTTAATGTTTTATTTATTATTTTTATTTTGTGTGTATGAATGTATTGCCTGCATGTATGTGAGCGCACCCGTTGTGCAATGCCGTGGAAGTCAGAAGAGGGCTTCGGATTGCCCTGAAACTGGAGTTAAGGACAGTTTGTAGCTGTCATATGGGCGCTGGGAATCGAACCTGGGTTCTCTGCAAGAGCAGTCAGTGCTCTTAACCACTGAGTCATCTCTCCAGCCCCACAGGTTATTTATTTAAAAGATATTTTATGTGTATGAGTGTTTTGCTTGCATATATATACATATATACGTGCACCCATCCATGCAGTGCCCACAGACCAGATCCCCTGGAACTGGAGTTATGGACAGTTTTTAGTGCCATGTGCATGCTGGGAACTGACCTCAGGTCCTCTGTCAGTGCTCTTAACTGCTGAGCCATCTCTCCAGCACCCTGTTGTTGGTGGTGGGTTTTGTGTGTTTGTGTGTGTGTATGTGTTTGTGTTTTGTTTTTTAAAAAATATTTTATTTAGGGGCTGGAGAGATGGCTCAGTGGTTAAGAGCACTGACTGCTCTTGCATAGAACCTGGGTTTGATTCCCAGCACCCACATGGCGGCTATGAATCAACCATCCTTAACTCTAGTTCCAGGGAAATCTGAAGACCTCTTCTGACCTCCACAGCATTGCACAACACAGGTGAGCTCACATACATGCAGACAATACACTCATACACATAAAATAAAAATAATAAATGAAAATATTAAAAAATATTTTATTTCTATTTTATGTATATATGTGTGTATTGCCTGCATGTAGGTAAGTGCACCCATATCGTGCAATGCCAGCAGAGGACAGAAGAGGCCAGATCCCCTGGAACTGGAATTATGGATAGTTGTTAGCTATCATGTGAGCGCTGGGATTTGAACCCAGTTCTTCTGCAAGAACAGCCAGTGTTCGAAACTGCTGAGTCATCTCTGCAGCCCTTATTTTTTGTTTTTGAGACAAGGTCTCATTATGTAGTCTTGGCTGGAACTTTCTATGTAGACCAAGCTGGCCTCAAATGCACAGAAAACCACTTGTTTTACCTTCCAAGTGCTGAGATTAAAGGTGTGCACAACCACACCTGGCCCACATTTGCTTGTTTCTTGTCCACTGGTTTAGTTTAAGCCTTTTCTACCTGCTAAGAGCCTAGCAATGTATCAAAAGGATAGAACTGTGGTAATGTCCACCTCTAATCCCAGCACTTGGGAGGCAGAGGCAGAGGAACTCTGTGAGTTCAAGGCCAGCCTGGTCTACATAGTAAGTTCCAGGCCAGCTGGGACTACAGGGAGACTCTATCTCAAAAAAGACCTAAATAAATAAATAAATAAATAAATGGATAGAATTGGATTGGCGAAGTGGCTCAGCAGTTAAGAGCACACAGTGCTCTTGTAGGGACTTGAGTTTGGTTACCAGCACTTATGGTGGGCAGCTCACAACTGCCTATAACTTCAGCTCTAGGGGGATCCTCTGATCTCAATGGGCACCTGCACTCTTGTACACATATATACATAACTAAAAATAATAAAAATCTCTTTTAAAAGTATAGAACTCAAATTTAAAAAGAAAAGGGCAGAATCTATGAGTACTACAGCTACAGAAGGAGAGCCTGTACCAGCATTAGGGCCCTAGCCTCCATAGGTACAATCCTCTCATGTTAGTTTTCTGTTGCTGTGACAAAAACCTGAGAGACATAGCTTAAAAGGAGGAAGAAGTGGGTTGGAGAGATGGTTCAGTGGTTAAGAGCACTCACTGTTCTTCTAGAGAACCCAGGCTCAGTTCCCAGCACTCACATGGCAGTTAACAGCCATCCATAACTCCAGTTCCAGGTTATCCAACACTTTTCTGGCCTCAGTAGGCATTGCACATGTAGAACACTTACATTCACGTGTGCAAAACATTCATACACATAAAAATAAATAAAATCTTTTTTAAAAAAGGCTGGGCATGGTGGCACACACCTTTATTCCCAGTACTTGGGAGGCAGAGGCAGGCAAATCTCCATGAGATGGAGGCCACCCTGGTCTACATAGAGTACATAGAGAGTTCCAGGCCAGCTGTGGAGATCCTTTCAAAAAAAGGAAGGAGTAAGTCAGTCTGGTAGCCCATGCCTGAAATCCCAGCACTTGAGGTTGAG